ATCCTGGAAAAACGCAGATTCGTTTCAGTATGTACTTGTACGTAGCTGAAACAACGATGAAACCTCTGACTCTGGTGTCCTTGGCCACCCAGCAGCACATGCAGGATCCTCATTCAGCTCTCTGAGAGACAAAATAACTCATGGTTCATGGGCAGTTATTCTCAGCCATAAAAAAAAGCCATAAACCTTGACCAAAATTACCTTGACTACTGGTATATGCAATGTGTTGCACTCAAATCTGAGTTCAGTGATTCAAGAGATATTTTGCTAACAGAACATACACACAAACAGGTTAAACCATTATCGCCCGCCTCTTGGCAGCGGTCAATAATAAAGTCTTTCTCGAGCCTGAGGCATGTTTCTGAGCTGACAGATAAGATGTGGGACACTGTCTGGCTTCGACATGGGAACTGTGTCGCCTGGAGGCCTGAATAATTCAGCGCCCGAGATAAATTTACTGCGGTGAAGTATTGTGGGAGACGGAGCCGAGCCCCACCTGCACACATTTTTCTTTTATCTGCATGTCTAATGAGTGGAAATTTTCTTTGTGATTTGACAAACCTGACCCAATAGCAGATGTTTAACTAAAGGTGCACGCGCTTAGCGCAAGTCAATATTTGCTCCACTGCTGCTTACTCAGGGCCGTCACTGTCAGCCAGCGGCTCTCAGACAGGTTTAGCACCCTGCAGCCATGTCAGTGTGTTTTTTTTTTTTTCAGGACTGCAGCCGAGGGGGTGTGGGGTGGGATAGGTGGCACTGAATGTCCTCGTCGCCACCTTGAGTCAATTCTCCCTCTGGCTCTGTCAAGTGTCACCGGCGGTGAAGTGTCACTCGTAAGCTCCATTTAATTGCCTATCGTCTACAGCAAGCACATTCATCACCAGAACAAGGGTGATGTACAGAGTTGTAGCAACTACAGGGGGGTTAAGTTGATGAGTTGCACAATGAAGGTAGACGAGAGGTGACAATTCGTGAGCAGCAGCGTGGTTTCATGCCGAGAAAGTATGACGACAGCAGAACAGTGGTGAGATGTGCTGTAGGAGTGACAAATAGGAGGTGGGAATGCATCAGGGATCACCTCTGAGGCCCTTCTCGTTTGCTCTGGTGATGGACCGACTAACCGATGAGGTCAGGCAGGAACCCCCACGGACTATGATGTTTGCAGATGACATTGTGATCTGTGGTGAATCGTTAATTTAAAGAAAGTTAAGAGGCCAGACTGAGATGGTTTGGATATGTCCAGAGGGACAGTGGGTATATTGGTAGAAGGATGTGAGAAATGCAGCTGCCAGGACAAAAAGAAAAAGGAGATACCAGTATATGCAGTTAGAGAGGACATGGAAGTAGTTGGGAGTGAGGACAGAGATGGAGGGGGATGACTCGCTGTGGCGATCCCTGAAGAGGGAAGAGCCAAAAGAAGAAGCTAGACAACAGATCTTCAGAATCCTATTTGTTAATATTTCAGACATTCTCCAAGACAAATTTAATTTCTGCAAAAATGAATCGGAATGTGCATGTTTTGTCAGAATGGGTCATAATTGATGCGACTTGTCCCATTCAGGTACTTTGAGCTCTCAGGAGGTATCTAGCATGAACCCTGTGAAAATCTGAAACAGAATATTTCCTGGGACAAACTTCTTATTTCATGTATCTTATATGGAGGACTGACGTGTCCTCAGCTCTCCCTGTGATGGCTGAAGGAGATAGCAATTTAAGAGTAAATTTACAACAATTTTTTTTTTTGTAGAAGATGTACAAACGAAGCCCCGTTACTTGATACGACTACTGTTTAGGATTCCGTTCAGTTTTATACAAAGAGTTTTCTGTAATAATTTGAAGCGACAATGTTCACAAAGTGAATATATAAAGTTTTAAAGTGAGTTTTAATGCTGTTAATTTTCTCTAAACTGCCATTTTTGAAAGTTGAAATAAAAAAATGTGTTAAGTGTGTCCTGAATGAAAAATACCTTGTTTAAAGTATAAAATAAATAGTATTAACACTATTAAAGAACAGGTGTTAAGTATTTATGTTACACAAATATTTCCATTGCATTAAAGAGACAAGTTGAAGACGATTATTTACGGTAATAAACATGAGGTGGTCCCTGAACCCAAAATGTTTTGAGGACCCCTGCTCTAACAGATCAAGAGTGATCTTGCTGTCAGACAAAATGTTAATTACAAGATTTTACCCCAAAATAAAACTATTCGTCAAGATAACATTGTGATAGTGTGAAGGTCTTAATTAGGAGATTTTCATCTTTTTGTTTCAGCTCTTTTCTCTGGATACTCGTGTCCTCTCCAGTGGGCGAGCCTCTTAAGACTCAGAAGGTCAAAGACGACAAAAATAAATAAATAAAAGGGAAGTCAAGGATTGTTAATCCTCCGTCTTGAGCACAAAACACATCTCAGCTCTATTATGTGGAAATAACGTGGTTGAGAGCTGGAGGTCGGCGCGCTGGAGATGAGTAAGACAAATCATCTTTTCATTACGGCGCAGGGGGAGCGGAGCGGGCAGGAGGGAAATGAGACAGAATGGAAAATGAAGATGGATGATTCGGTCGGATGAGACTGAAGGAAGAGTGCAGGTGAGCAAACAGCGCCTTCAGTAACCTGACTTCACAGGAAAAGGTCAAACATTTAAACTCTTAATGTGCTCCTTTTAATTTCTGGATCCTACAATACGTGTAAAATTGCATTCAGAAAGTTAACGCAAAAAAAATAAACAGTGGCAATTACTTTTTTTTTTTTTTTTAAAGAAAAATATCAATATCTACGCACGCACAATCACATTTTATATTATCAGTCGAAGAAAATTCATAATTTGGGGGTTTCTCAAACTTTATTCTAAGAATTTTTAAGAGTTCACATCTTTATTTTATTTATCTGGTGTCAATACAGTCAAATATAAAGTGATGAAAAAAGAAAGAAAACAATATTTACAGAACTTTTTTCTAACGATCAGTTTGCTACCTAATAAACTTGATGACATTTTCCTTTGGTATTGCTCAGTGGTCACCTTGTTAACACTGAAATATGGAAACACAATAGAATAATAAATAAAATCAAAAATTGTTGTTGTATATTAATACATTATATGAATTATAGTACAATGAATATCATATAATCAAGCAATATAATCCAAAATATCATAAAACATTTATTAAATATTATTCCCATCATTAGTGTTTTCCTACCCCATTTCACCCTTTAAAGATGATAAAATTAACAATATTTATCCTATCTTAAAGTTTACTACTATAATTTAAAGAGGTACCAAATATTTTAATAGTACGCACACAAATATATTCTTTCACAGTAATACAAGAAGTATTTTTTAATTACTGATGGACAAATCCTCCTGAATCTACGCCAGCGTTCTGATGGACTTCGTCAGACCATCACATGGTTGTAGAGGAATTTTGTCCCATTCCTCTTTCCAGCGTTGCTTCAAGTCATCGAGGTTTGCAAACATTTGTTTTCTCTTTAGTCCTGCTACATTTAACTCATGTTCAGGTCTGGACTTGAGTGGACCGGAGCAACGCCTCAATACTTTTTAAAGTCAATCTGTTGTAGATTAGCTCGTGTGTTTGGATCATTGTCCTGATTTGTGACTCACTTTGGTCCAAACTCCTGCTGTTGGACAGATGTTCTCATTTCTGACTCTAGAATATTTTGGTCTACAGATTTCCAGCTGTCCAGGTCCTGAAGCTGCAAAACGAGCGTAAACCCACGTTTGATAGTTGATTGGAGGCGTTTGCGCCTACGTTTGGCTTTCTTTAAACATGCTGCTGTGCGTTACAGCTAAACATCGCTACTTTGGTCTCATCTGTCCCAGAGACATTGCTGCAGAAGTCTTGTGCTTCGTTCAGATACAACTTTACAAACTGAACTCAATCAGCCATGTTGAATTTAAAGGTTTACTCCTACAACCCTTTTAAACAAGCAAAACTCGGTTCAGTCTAATGGTCCGCTCATGAACTTTAACCTTTGACCTGTTAATTGAAGACCGTACAGTAGAGATGAAGCACTTGTGTTTTGTGCAATCTCCCTGACTATTGCACAGTCTGACCCTGGGGTGAAATTGTTGGGATGTCCACTCCTGGCCGTTCCAAATGTTTTCTGCTTGTCAATATTTTTCTCTCTGTACGATTGTTTGGAAATTAGCTTTAACCCTTCCTCGGTCAGATCATTGCTGAGGTCTTTCCGTCTTGGCATTGTGTTCACACCCCTGTCTGCTCCAATGCAGCAAACTGATAAAGCTCTATATGGAAAAATTGTAACGTGCGTCTCATTAAATACTCTGTTCTTGGTTTTTTTGTGATGCATTTCTGAAAAAAAAAAAAGTCATGATTTATTTAAATGGGTTCTTGGCGCCTAAAGAAACAGATATGTTGTGTTCACTATTAGTCGACTGGTTCAAGTCAGAGCACTGGAAGTTCTTTATTGAGATAGGACGTACAAAACACTCGAATAAAACAATGATTAAATTTTTTTTAAAGTACAAAAACCTGACCCATGACGAGTAACCATGTTGAAAACCAGGTCACACCAACTCACTTTATTACAGAACATTAAAAACTCCTCGTCTGGTCAGGTTGCTGCATGCGGTTGTTCCCGTTTGGAAATGACCTCCGTTTGGTTGTTTGGAGTTTTATAACTTAAACTCAACACACACAAAAACATTTATAAAAAGCTTAAGTACGTGCTTGGACCACTTGAACATGATGAGTAAAAAAAAAAAAAACTAAAGTTCTGGGAAAGCTGAGCTCGCATCGTGGCTACAGGCTCCTGTCCTGCTCTAACGCCACTGAGCAAGGCACTGCTGGAACTCGACTACAGCCACCAGAAGGCGGATTTCTAACCGACACACATTCTTCCCTCATTCCACGTTTAAGTTAACCTGCAACCATCCTCGGTGCGTGCTTCCTGTGGAGCGACGGTGTGAAGGAACGACTCGGTTAATCCCTCCTGTGTTGATGCTTTAATGTTCTGATGTAGGTTTTTTTTGTTTTTTTTAAGGGTCCAGATGCTGCTCCAGCTCTCCATTTGGAAAGCTGTTGAGAAGTCAAAGAGGAAACACTGTTACGCACAAACAGACCTAAAAAAACTGAGATGCACGAGCTGCTGACGAAAATAAGCGAGTTACCTGGATTTTATCGATTCTCTTTGTTGGAGTTCTCTGTCTGCTCCTGATGAAGAACCAAAAACAATCAGTTTAAAATGTGGAGAACATAATTCAACAGAGGAAATAATCTTAAAGTCTTCAGTCTGGGTTTGTTTACCACCTTGGGCATTACTTTCCCTTCTCATACAGTCAGGATGACAAAGCTAAAAGTCAACACGGGAGCTTACGTTAAGAAATGAAGCAAACACGGATGTTGATGAGCATCATGTTTCTCCGCCCTAAAACAAATTTGGTTTGGGTGTTTATTCAGTCGAGCTCAATGAATCCAAACAGGCTCAGACTAAATCCTAAAAAGACCGTCAGATCTCAAATTACAGACATCCAATATTTGTAGTTGATCGTTTGTTTCCCAGCCTATCTAAATAAACAAACCGTAATAAATCCATGACGATGAATAGTCAAAACGCAGAACGGCCATTTTAGGGGACTTTCTGGGTAAAGGACGCTTTCAGATGAAGAGCTTACACCTAAACAAAGTAGAGAACATAACAAGAATCAGCTTTAAGACTAGACTATGCTTTTATTCACTCACATGTCACCCCCCCCTGCACGGAATGTCTACGTCACCATGTGCTTGTATGTGCGGGTTTCCCCCCCATTATCAGGGTCTTTCTTTTCAGCCAAGAAGAAAGAGTTTGATAAGGTGTTTTTTTTGGCCTCCAATTCCTATGAGTCCAGTTTCACTGCTTTTTTTTTTTTGTCTGTCTAAACAGATCTCACTTGTAAATGAGTCTACCGGGACTCAATGTGACTTATATGTCTAAATAAAGGTTGAACCGAATTGAAAAATAAAATTTACATTATGTAAACAAAACTATCAACAACAACTTTTAAATACAAGTCAGTTATGTGATTTTAGTTCGAACGCACAAGACCCCGTTCTCTGAACGCTACTGAGGGTCAAATAATAAAGGCTTGGAATAAAAATATGGACTCAAAAGAAGGATTACATTTGAAGTATTCTGGTTTCAGAGAATTTGGTTAACTGGCATAAACCTGGTTCAGCCAGGGAAAAGATTAAGTAAATTTGTTGGGGGCTCGTCCGAGATCTTAACCTAGGACTTGTCACGCCTAAGTGAGAATTAAACTCCTAGTCCAGGCTCATATTCATATCAAATTCTAATAAACATTGAAAAGTCATGTTTTTCTACAAGCTATTATGACTTGAGTAGGTTTCTACAGAAAGTTTATTAAAGTTTGAGAGTGTAGTTTAAAGTTGGCAGTACAGCAGTCCCTCACTGCTTCTCGGTTCGACTCTCGCAGACTCGCTCTTTCTCAGTTTTCAATGATTGTCAACTTTAATATTACTTATGCGTTTGGGGCCGTACAGATAAAGTTATCGAAAAACAAAAATACTTCAGACGGGCACCACCATTTTATAGTTTTCTTTCAATAAACCTACACAGCATCACCAGTCCAAAAGAACTACATTACCCATAAGGCAACAGTGCACTCCCCAAAATTCAACAGTACTTCTGGCCTGCTGCTTTCTGCCAAAATGAAAGGAAAATTTTGATCCGATCCAAACCCTACTAAAAAGTTCGGTCTTATTCATAGTGACTTTGACACTCAGTGGCTGCAGAGAGCCGATCCGAACCGGACCAGGACTACTTCCAGCCTCATCAGTCAATCTGAATGCTGCTTGCCGTCCCAGGAAGCCTCTCAAGCACTGAGCCATTGCTTGGAGGTCCGGTGTCTTCTCCGGAGCTTAACCAGACATTTTACATTGGATTTCTCTGGATTATTTGGACTCTATCTGGAACACTGTGGTTTTGTGCTGGCTCTCCGAAGGTCCGGCTCTTTACAAAAGCGTCTTGGTGCTCAACGGCTGCAGAAAGCCGATAAGAACCCGATTAGAACCCGACAAAGGCTAGTGAGTACTAGAGTTGCATTTGGGCCTTAAAAAAAAAATCAGATTCGACCCGGCCCCAGCCTGTAGCCATAAATTTCCGAATCCCACCCGACCTGACATATTAACAGTAATTACAGGTCTGAACCCGAAAACCCCCCAACATTTTTAATTAAGCTTTGACTTCTTATATAGTTATTAACAGTCGGCAGACGTGCGCAGCTGAGTAAAAGGGGCAGGAGATAGGAGCTGATGGGTGTTTTGTCCTTTCATGGCTGTCAAAGCTCATTAATTCCCTGCTTCTTCCTGCATTCTGCATTATTCAGACACAGACCCTGCTCTGACATGTTTGCTTTGGAATCTCACCTGTTTAGGTCGCTGGCCGCGCGCGTCCGCTGAGTGCAGCGGCTGAACGAACGTCCATTTGGGCGATGGATCCTTTCCTGGCAGTATAGTCCCATCTGAAGCTTAACTGAACTTTATTTTACCTCTTTCAAGGACGGTCAGCTCATGGTAAAATGGCCACGTGTGGCTGGTGATGTATGGCAAGCCATCTTGACATATAATTGGAAGTATGGCAAGCCAGGTTGCCATATAATTGGATCGCGGCTGAGTCTCTGACGCAATCATAAGCTCGACCCGGCCCACCCATCCAGCACATTATTATGGCCCGGCCCGACCCAAATTTAGGCCCAGGTTAGAAATAACAGCTCTAGTGTGTCCCCATATAAAATTTTGCAGTACTGTACAGAACATATACATTAGGGATGTGCGATATGGCAAAAAATTCATATCACGATATGTATTGTGAAGGGTGGCAATAACGATATATATCACAATATGTTTTTGGTATACAATTTGAAATAGGAATGGAAAAAAAGCATAGGGCGTCACTTGGCCATAATTTATTTTTAAAACTGCTATACCACAAAATAATCTCAATAAAGAAAATTACACCACTAGGTCCAGAGAGTTTTAAAATAAACTAATCAAGTATTAGGCTTCTTTCTTGTAGTGCAAAACAGTGCAAAATATATAAAAGGTAGTTTTAACCATATGCTTTAAACAAAAAAAATTGTTGCTGAGTTTTAACAGTTTCCAGTATTCTCACTTGAGAAATGAACAGCAACAGAGCAGCAAGTGCACACTCAAACACTTCACCCTCCAACCCTCTAGTGGGAGTCTCCGTCTGCTTTAAGGAGAGCTGACACAAAATGGCGACCAGTTTCCTCTGTGACTCTGACCAGAGGGTCTCGCAGTAAAATCACACAACACAGCGTTCTTTTCACAGATCAGAGAGCAGGTTTCTCTAAAGCTGACCAACGCTTACTTTAACTTTTGATGGTTAAAGAAAAAAACTTTTGACGGAACACTGCGTTTTGCGCAGGCGTCCGAATACGGCAACACTGCGGTAACCCGGCCGTAGTTAGCTTGTAGCTTCGCTACTTAGCTCTCGAAGAAAGGACTATACCACCGCTTACACACAGTTTTCAACAAAAAAGTAACAATTAAACTGACAACTCTGATTTTACATCTGACACAGCATTACTGCGGTTAGCCAGTAGAAGACAGATCTCTATCGTAGGCTAAATGTCTATCGTTTCTACCGTGTACGTATATATTACGCATTCCTAATATACATACGTTGTTGAAATTACATAGGTTTGAGAGTTTAGAACATTGCAAGAGTGTGGGAAGGGTTTATAAAGACTTAAAATATATGTAAATACTAAAATAAAGCTAGCGTTCCTACTTCTCGGTAGTTCCCTTATTGCCGGGGGTGGTGGTGGAATGTAACTCCCGCGATAATCAAGGGACTATTGTAATCAACTTTGCTGCTGGATCCATTCTGACTGCTTGTTAGCACGTTGATCTTGTCAAAATTAAAATATTTCTCCAAACAGGTATATCAAAGAAAGTAGTAAATTAACGGTTTGTATCTTTCAACAAAATCAGACTTTAAATATCTAAAATATTCTTTTAAGAATCAGAGCGGATATTTCGACTGCAGGCAGGAGTTACGGTTCTCTGTGATGCTTTTTTCTTTAAAGCATCTGTTAAAGGACAGAAGAAATGAAGTCAGACACTGCAGCAGATGAATGAGTGAAAGTAAAAGACAATTACTCGTCGCTCTGAACATTAAATGAGCAGACAGACGTAGCTGCTGCTCCTGATCACCTGCAGCGCTGCCGTTTCATTAAACAGACCTCCTGTGACGGAGACAGAAGACGGCGGAGCTGGAGGCAACAGGCGGGCTTTCTGTTCCCTCCTTATCATGAATTTTCAGATCATCGTTTAATTAATTCTGCAACAATTACACCTCGTTACTTGATTAGAAGTAAAACGCTGAAGTAGCAGGAAGTCAATTACGTCGACGAAACGTAGCTTTTTGTTTTGTTCGGGGATCTATTAAAAGACGTTGGCATTTATTTTAAAAATAGGCCTTTTTCGTTTTAACACGCATTTATAAATCGTCCGTTTTATCTTTATTATATAAACTGACATATTAAAGCTGACGGACGGGATTGGGTTCTTTTGTTTTTGCATAAAAGTCCCCGCTTTAACTGGCTTATTTTAAATATTAGCCACGCATTTTGATAAACCATCTTTCAATCTTTATCTTTAATGTTTTATTGGTAACTAAATACTTGTTTTAACAAAAAAAATGTATTTTTCAAATAAAGGAATTTAACTTTTTTTTTGTGATAGTTAATTGAATTTAGTTGGCTGAAAAAAAAAAAAAAACCTTTTAAAATACATTATTGTGTCACCAAAAAAATGTAAGTATTGTAGCAGATAAATGTTTTTCCAAATAAAAACTATTTTAACCCGTAATAAATAAAGAACAGTTGTTACATCATGTGAGGTCAGAGCTGGAGTCAAAGCAGGAAAGTACAAAATGTCCTGAAGCTTTAGGTTCACGTTTGGCGTCGGGGAGTTCTTTTTGTTTTTCGATCAGCGTCTGGGTTGTTCCTCTTGATGAGTCTCGTGTGGGTTCTAAGGTTTAAAATTAAACTATTCAAAGAACGGCGAGATGAATGATTCATGTGCTTCTACTTTTTTGGGGGCGGGGGGTCGCAGTCTGGATGAAGAGAGAAACAAAACACTAGGAATCCAACAAAGTTAAGTCAGGTCCTCTGGATGGTTTCTTTGTGTACTTCATCCAAAGGACTTCATCAGCCCGAGAAGCCACAACAAACTCAGTCCCACAAGCAGCACGCTCGCATAGTGAACCAGTTTGATGGTGATCAAATGGTTTCTGGAGTCTGCCCTCTCCCCCGTCGACTCCTATGAGGCAGCCATGCCTCATAAAAAGTGGTTCAAAACATCAAGGTTCATGCTCAATAATCCAGGTAAAAAAATCCTACAAAGTTAAGTCAGGTCCTCTGGATTGTTTCTTGGACGTTTCAACACAAAGTTGTCCATCTTTGTGTTCATAAGAAACCATCTGATCACCGTCAAACTGGTTGGTCCACTATGTGAGTGTGCTGCTTGTGGGACTGTGTTTGTTGTGGATCCTCGGACTGATGAAGTCCTTTGGATGAAAGATGAAGCGTTTCAACACAAAGAAACCGTCCAGAGGACCTGACTTAACTTTGTAGATCAGGGTTATTCGACTAAACTGCTCAGGGGGCCACAGCTACTGAAAGTCAGCAGCTCAGGGGCCGAACGACGACGGAGCTTTAGGGCAACGCAAAAAAAAATAAAAATAAATTACATTGCCACGCTAAGAATTTTTTTAAAGTCATAAAAGTACGAGAATACGGTCGTAAGAGACGTTTTTTTATTTTTATTTTACATCTGTCAATTTATTTTTTCTCCCACGAGTCGGCTCCACAACACGACCTGTCAATCAATCCAGTAGGCGTGTCAGCAAATTACCAATCCGAAGTTAAATGAGTCGTAACTTTATCCAAACTCCAACACGATAAAGTTTACCGCATTTTAACTGTGGTAAAATGAAGAATGTTTGTTAAACTTTATCGTTATTGACGCTCTTACTCAAAACGTGTTCCAATACTGCCCCCTACTGTTGTGTTCTTGTATGCTGCTTCTGGGATGCGTATACGTGACGTCATTACGTTCGTTTTAGTTTTCGTGAGTGAAACTGTGTGCGTGCAGCGCTGTCAGAGGTCGTCAGTAAATATGCCAGAAAGAGGCTGAAGAGACCCAGCGACTCACTTATAAGAGCATTTAGCTTCGGATCGGTCATTTGCTGACACTCCTACTGGATTGATTGACAGGTCACGTCATGGATCAGACTTGTGGAAAAAAAATAAAAATTACGACAGCTGTAAAAAAAAACAGGAAAAGTCTCGTACGATTTTATTCTTGTAATTTTATGGCTTTTATTATTCTTTTTTTAGCGTGGCCCTAAAGCTCCGTTGTACCAAACATCCAGTGATTAAAGTCATTATGTAAATAAACCAAGTATAACAATGATCTGTTACCTTTTAAATTTGTGTATTTTATTGCATTGAATCATAAATGCAATAAACTGGTGAAAGGGGTTTAGTACATTTCAGGAGTTTTTTTTTGTTTGTTTGTTTTTTTGTAACAGGCCTAATAACAGCCGTAAGAGACAAACAGCTGAAGTTCTGAGAGGGCAAACCTGCTGGGTCTCTGACGTCGTTCGGCTGTGGGCCGCCACTCCAGTGGGCGTTGAAGGAATGCTCCCGTTGGAGCCCATCACTAGAAGAGTCTTCCGATCCCTCGCTGGCTTTTCACACTTTGTCACACGGAACCTGAAAACAACGTGAAGTTTGAAAATGTCACCGATCACTCAACTAAAAACTGCTCGTAGGGCAGAAACTGAAAAACACAAACATACGACGGGAAGCTTCTTAAAAAGTGTCGACCTGAAGAGTCAAACTGAAACATTTAGCTGCCGACTCTTTCCACTCTGAGCAGCATCGTTTTATTAAAGCAGCAGAAATAGAAGGCACTCGGTTCCCAGCTGCCATTTGATTCTGCACACGGATGGAAACGAAAAGGTCTCGTTCACCTGAACACAACGCTTCCATCGTCCGCTCTTATTCTAAAGCCAAGCAGACGCCACAAACGGGCAAATAAATCCTGATTTCCAGGTCTGCTCTGCAGGACACTAAAGGTGAGGAACACGACAGACTGGGTTAAGGGAGAGGCGAGAACCACTGAGGGTTCTGTCTTTACGAGTCGTGTTGGACCCAACTAATCCGGACAGACGAGCTCCCGTGTTCAGACGTTGTTCATCTTGTGAGAGGAATTTTCTTTTAGAGAAAGAAGCCGTCATAAATCAGAAACGATAACTCCAGTTTGAAAAACTCGTAGCAATTTTTGCAGATACCGCACTTTTTGCCGTACGTCGTATCAATCCAAATATGTCTAATAAAGTGGAAAAAAAAAAAAAGTCGCTTCGTTGTATAAATCTCACCTATTATGCGTCACCATTGACAACCTGGAAATGTGGGCAGGTGTTGTGCAAAAATCAATCGGCTGCCAAATGGCAGCTGCAGGAGCGTGCACGGGAGGACTTGAACAAGAATTTAACAAGATTAACACTTTAAAACAATTTATTTGTTTGCTCGAAATTATAGTAAAGGTGTGCTTTAGTTTAACTTTTTCTTAATAAATGCACTTTAATGGTAAAATCAGCTGCAGTTCATCTGGGCGGTGCAGCGAAATTAAACTGATTTCATGTTTGCTCCAGGCGTCCCGGAGCGAGACGAAGGTGGCTTTGTATGGCAAGCCAAGTGTCTCATTAATAGCTACTTTTACCTATTAATGAGACACTTGGCTTGACGTGGAACACAACCGCCCTCTAGTGGCTGAAAATGGTAATGTTCAATATTTTCCATGTCAGAATGAATGAAATAGTCAGATTTCAGCCAAAAAAATTGGGTTAACATGGGGAAATAAACGTATATTAGTCACTTCGGTGTATAAGTCACAGGACTTGCAAATTTATGCAAAAAGGTGCGACTTATACGCCGAAAAATAATGTTTTTTTGTAAATCTGCAAACCGTTTGATTTTACCCAACTATTCCCTCCTGTGCAAGAACTCCCTGCAGAAATCTATAGGGGAACAGGCTCATAATGCTGAATTAATATTTTATTTATTATACTTTTTAAACTGGAGGTGTTTTAAGAGCGATCTGCTTTGGTCTTTAAATCGCTCGCGACACGTCCTGCATGTTCAGGTGATCGATTCCTCAAACACTCAGTTCTCCTGAATTTGCTACCTCGACACAGTTTGTTGAAGGACTTCGTCGAGACTTTTCAGATGGTAGAAGTCCAGCGTTCCACCAGCGGTCTGATGAGGAAACTCCGCTCTGATTACAGAAACTGTGGTTGGATTTAAAATCTGTGTCGAAGATTGACGGAACAGACGAGGTAACTTAGAAACTTTTTAAACCTAAATGGACAAAGTTAATGATGTAGATCAAAGTTCATGCTCATTAATCCAGGTAAAAAAATCCAACCAAGTTCAGTCAGGTCATCTGGATGGTTTCTTTACTTTTTTTTTTTTTTTTTTTTTAACGAGTGGAACGTTTTGTTCTTCATCCAAAGGACTTCGACTTCATTAGTCTGAGAAACCACAACAACCTTACTCCCACAAGCAGCACACTCAGTGGATCAACCAGTTTGGTGGTGATAAGATGGTTTCTAGGGCCCACCTTCGCCCCTGTCATCCAGCAAACTGGTTGGTCCACTATGTAAGTGTGCTGCTTGTGGGACTGAGTTTGTTGTGGCTCATCGGACTGATGAAGTCCTTTGGATGAAGAACGAAAAGCCTCAATCAAAAAAAAAACGTCCAGAGGACCTGACTGAACTTTGTTTAATGATGCATAAATAAATCACTGTATCATCACTGTCAGGCTGAGAAATTACTTTTTCGTTGCTCACAAGTTTTTACAGGAAATTTGTGTTTTTAAAAGGCACCTGTGAATAAATTTCCTTAAAACTGGCCTTTAGGAACTGTTTAAAAACATAAAATACTTCTAAAAACAGACCAAATCTGGTTTGTTTCCCCAGGTGCACGACATAATTTCCTCGTAAACTAGATTTAATGAGGAAAACAAACGTGTAGTTTAGTGTTCTTCCAAATGCTAAGAAATGAACGAGAAATACAATTAAACTGATTTTCCAACACAATTCCAGTGAAACACACACAGATCATTTTTAAAGGACAAACTTTGGGTGACTCATTGGTTAACCTGTGCATATACTGACGCTTTAAAATAGCAGCCAGTTTTTTTTAGAACGTTCATCTAATTTTTTTCTTGGGATGTGAAGATTCAATTCAAATTCAAAAATACTTTATCAATCCCAAAGGGAAATTGTGTTGTTGTAGCTCATCATCCTGGTTTTATTCAAGAGTTGTTATAGATGCTGATGGCTGTGGGCAGGAAGGATCTCCTGCAGCGAATCCGAATAATGTGGCTACAGATACCGATTCGTACACCCAGATCCAGCTTGCTGTCAGATCTGGTGGGCCTCTCGGTCCTCCTGGGCAGCAGGAGTGCCGGGCAGAATTCCTCCTTGAGCGATGGTCGCTGCTCCCAGCAGTCTGCCGAGCTCCTCGTCACCACGGACAGACAGCTGAAAGTGCCGGGGGATGGTCCTCCCATTGTCACAAGCCGAGTTTCCCACCAGCTCCAGGTTCTTGGTGGTCAGGTACTTGAGCACCGCCACCAGATTGACGGGAATTCATCCACGGCACCTCCATTTCAACTCGTTTGAGATTTGGGGCTGTATTAAGGTATTACTGAGCTTTTGAGATGTTAGCTGCTTCTGGTTGTTAAAAAAAAAACACCTTGTTGCCATGGTTGCGCATCATAACAAATGCCCAAAAGTAACAAGGTTTCAGTCAAAATCATTCCAGCTGCACAGCATCTGATACCAGAGGAAGTAATCATCTGAAAAGAGTGATTTATATCCAGAAAAGAGGAATTAAAGTTTTCAAAACCAATAACTCAGAATGAAAGTAACAGAGATACTCCAACATGCAGCCACCTCGAGCGGAGCAATTCTAGAACATGAGTAATCAATTGGTATGAATTTACAGAGAATGCAGGTGTGTCTGTAGAGGAGCCGAGTGCCCATGTAGATTTAGGATTAAATCTGGACTCTGGTTTTCAAAGTCTTTGTACCAATACCATCCGATCTGTTTAATTTTTTTTTCTTTTTTCATTTAGCCTTTATTTATCCAGGTAGTCTCATTGAGCCACGAGAACTCATTTTCAAGAGAGACCTGTTTAGGGAGCAGATGGTGGGGGTTAAGGGACTTGCTCAGGGGCCCAGAGTGGGGCGAATAAGGGTGGAGGCAGGTGTGGGTGTTTCACCTTTTCCTGCCCACATTTTGATGTTGACGGTAACGGGAGTTGAACCTGCGACTTTCCGATCACGGGCCCATCTTCTAACCTCTGTGCCACCACTCCCCCAATAATAGAGATTTGTACATTCAGTCGTCCGCTAGGCCTGTCACGAAAACAAATTTTGCTGGGCGATTAATTGTCTCAGAAATTATTGTGATAAATGATAACATTGTTTGAAATTTGACAATAATTAGTAATTACCGGTATTGTCAAATTTAAGAAGAAATGTTTGTTAATTGGTTTTGTATGCAATACTTTTTTGACCAACGGATGGCAGTATAAAGCTGTTTGAACCAAAGGATGGATAGTGAGGGAGCAAGCAGTGTGTCTCTTGAAGAAAAATGGGAGGGAGGCCCCTTGACGTGACATGGGCTGTGTCTCTTCGGTTCTCAAAATGGCGGACACTCTGGTTTGAACTCTAACATAGTATTTTTCACACAAAGCTTTTAATAAAAAAAAATTTTTTTAAATCAGTAAACAAGTTCTCAGCATCTTTTTTGCAGTGAAAAACTTTTTACACAAAGGCACGGGTTTCAACCGTGAATTTTGGAGCTTGAACAAGACGGAGGTTTTTTCCCCCTCGAGGTTAGCCTGTTAGCTTAGCTCGTAGCTTAGTTTCTCAGCTTAGCTGCTTTTAACATGATTTTGGATGGTTAAAATGGATTTTAAAGAGGAAAAAAGAGGAAAGGAGTGGTCAGTGAAGAGCACCGGAGTTGAGCTTATTGTCATCCAGTGTCTTCAGTAGAAAGAGAGAGACACGAAGAAACAATAAAGCCAATAAATGAAAATGAGGTTGATAATTTTAATTTACCATGCGATTAACTGATTTATTGTTTATCGCAGCAGGCCTACCGTCCACTTTAAAAAAATAAAAGTTGAGGTCTAGTTAGGTTTGTGTACGAAGAGCTGATTCCTTCTTTTTTTGAGGACAGCTCCTCTTCTGGCTGAACTTACTGCAGTTTACCTGCAGTGTCTTCTCTTAAGTGACACCTACTGGCCAGGAGTAGAACAGCAGCAGCGCCGGTATAAGCAGCAACAAACACTGAAAATGTGCTTCAAGCAGTATGAACCAAATATTCTAGGGAAAAAAAGTTGAACTTATGTTTTATTCTTTATCATGTAGAAACTACATTTTACTTCTCACTGGAGAGTTACTGTACGAGAAGTAAACTATGTAGAATTTTTAGTTTGTGTTCATTAACAGAGTTAGGTTTTGTGAAAGTATTTTGCAATTTTAAAACTAGATCTGTTAGTGAGCATCCATTTTACATCAGGTAGTTAGTAACTAGTTATATTAACTGACACAGAACAATGCCTTTGCTTTTAGTAAGCAAGATGCTGTCTGAGCAACAGCTTCTTTGTTTCCCTCACTCTTATAGATCGGTGTAACTTTAACAGGGGTCGTACGACAGAGCAGGTCAGAAACCAAAACCTCGGTTTTCCCAGGCTTCACCTTCACCGTCCACCTGCGTTTGTTCCAGGTCACCAGTAAACCCAGGGTGTGTAATTAAAGATTCGTGGGTGATTATCCAGAGTTAATGTTTGATTGTTAGAGCTGTGTGTACTGCGGCTTCTGGTGTGTGTCTGTAAGTTAACTGTAAAAGTTTTCATTACAAATATCAAAACGGAGCGTGTAAAATGATTCTGAGAAACGGTGAAGGCAAAGTCACAGGAAGGCAGCATTAACAACCGTTTTTTTTTATCTTTCGTTTACGAGTCAAACGCACACACCTGCCTACAGCCAGGACTGTGACCTCTCCGAGGTGACTGCGGCGCTGCTCGGTTTTACGGGCCGGCAGATTCCTCATCAGCGGCCATTTTTTCTGGCTGCAGCGAGTGCAGGTGTTCGAGTGGCTGCCCGGGGCGCCGATGGTGTGCAGGTGGCTGCAGGTGTGCTTGGCTGCTCCTGCGGGGGCCCCCGGTGAAATAGGGGTCATCGGTGGGGAGGAAGGTCCAATGGAGGTGGGGGTGAGCGGAGGCCTGAAGACAGAAAACCATCAATCACAGGTCATTAACTGTAAATCACAAGTCACACTCTGCTGCTTCAGGAATGGCTATAAATTAACCCAGCATGGAGATATTAAAGTGATAGTTCAGATATCTTACATGTTCTACAGCAGTTAACTGTTCATAAACTTCCCACAGAACTCCACTTTGAAACATCCTAAATAAAAAACACTGATCCAAGCACATTCACACTATTCATTCAACCTTTACAGGTTAGTCTCATTGAGTCACGAGGACTCTTTTTAAAGAGGGACCTGTTTTAAACAAAAAAAAACACAGATGAGGTACCCAAAAAAGTTCAATCTGGTCCTCTGGACATTCAAAAAAACAAAAAACAAAACAAAGCAAAAAAAAAATGTAGATGCGTTTCGTCTTTCATCCGAAAGACTTCCTCAGTCTGAGGTGCTGTATTCAGACTGAGGAAGTCTTTCGGATGAAAGGCGAAACGTATCTACATTTTTTTTTGCTTTATGTTTTTTTTTTTGAATGTCCAGCAGACCAGATTAACTTTTTTGGACTTTTCTACCTGGATTATTGAGTATGCATCAGGACAGATGAGGTACACACAACAATAAACAGTCATAAAAAGCATAGTATAAAATGAAAAGTAAACTACATTATAAAGCCATGTAAAATACTAAAAACAGGAACATGTCTGCGCTGATTTTTGCATTGAACTTAACAATAGTTTAAAATCCTTTAGAGGTAAAAGTAGAGCGCTTCAGATCTTTTTGCAAGGTGTTCTGGGATACAGGAGCGGAGAAGGCCCCTTTGAATTCAGTCTGCACTGAGGGTACGCTGCAGGTAACGATGTCCTGATCACTGATGAAGTGGCACGTCGGAGGAGATAAGAAGACAACAGACCAAGAAGTGATTTAAAGATGAAAATGTACCAGTGTGAGTCTGCATGAAGCTAATGATGTCCAGTTAACCAGTGAATACAGGGTGCAGTGGTGGGTGTGGTAGTTACAGCCAGTTATGAATCTTAGCGCACCGTGATAGACGGTGTCCAACATCTGCAGGGTGCTTGTAGGAGCGTTCATGTAAATAATTTCACCGTAGTCAGTGGAGGGAAGGAAAGTCACAGTTACAAGGAGTTTCCTAGCATTCACATCTATTTCTGAAAAATAAACCATTTTTTATTTCAATTTCTTTATAAAGTTTTCGACATGAGGCTTAAAAGAGATGTACGTCGACCAAGATTCCCAAGTATTTGTAATAATCGATAAACTCAGTAGGAACACCATTCGTAGATAGGATAGAAAGGATTTCTGGTACCGACTTCCTGTTTGAAAACAACATCCCTTTGGTTTTATCAGCATTTAGTTTGAGACGAAACAAATCTGACAGGATGATGTCAAATGCATGCAGACTGTAAAAGATGGAAACCTTAGCAACTGTTCTAGCTCAACAAACTACTGTGTTGTCAGCATAGAAATGTAAGGATGCATCAGGAATGATCTGACCTACACATGCAGATTGTAAACACAGTGGGTCCCAACACTGAGCCTTGTGGTACAATATAACCAATAGCTTCTATTTAATTACCGTAGTTTCTCAGATAAAAACTCAGCTCGTTCAATTCTGCAGCACTTTCATAGCAGGCCGTCACCGCTGAGTGACACGTTCAGAACTTCAAAGCTAATAATGACGGGGAACAACCACTTGTTGATCTTCCTTAAAAGTAAAAATGAATACAGTGAATGTTTGAAGCAGTAAACGATTCAGGAAAACTTAAGTGGTTTATCGCAACATTTTCTTAAAATATGAATTTAAAAAAGGAACTGTCTGAAGCCGACTCACTTAACTTTAGTATTTTACCGTTCGTTTGTGTTTTTCTAAAACTCCAGAGCGCAGCTCCTCACATTGTTTAAACACAAAGCCATTATAAACGGCGCTTCTGTACGCTCGTGTAAACATGCATAATGCTGAGTTTATATGCATGGCTCAGGTGAAAAACTGAAATATCCTGAGTTCACTTGTATTCAGGAGGCATCACAGGAAGCTGCAGTAATGTGGGGAAAGCCTGGGTATGTGGAGAATCACATCATCAGAATAAAAACATTTTTGCATAAAAGAGCATATAAAAAAATAGAAATATGTTTTAAAACTAACAAATTGTGGAGAAAAAAAATCTTGCAGCTTCTCAAATGTGCAAATTTGATATATACGTTATTTCAGGTAATCTACAGTACTGTGTGGCTTTTGTTCATGGAGGTTTATGGAAAATTACCAAAATATGTCTAAAATAGTAAAAAAAAAAAAAAAAACATTTAAACAGAAAATAAATAGATTTCAAAGACAGAAAAATGAAGCTTTAACAGAATCTTCTGCCAAATTTCTCGTATTAAGTAAATTTGAAGCAAATTGTGGCAAAGCCAGCAGGAGGCAGTATAGTCCACATGAATTATTAACATTATTAATTAAAAACATTATTTTCCTCCACCTGCGTAATATCACTAAACATTTTATCTAAAAATGATGCAGGAAAACTGGTTCATGCATTTGTCACATCTAGACTGGACTATTGCAATGGTTTGTTATCTGGGTGTCCAAATACTTCTTTAAAGTCTTCAGTTGGTCCAAAATGCTGCTGCCAGAGTCTTAACTGGAGTTAGTGGGAGAGATCATATCTCTCCAGTGGCTCCCTGTCAAATCCAGAATAGAATTCAAAATCTTACTTCTAACCTACAAAGCGGTCAACAACCTAGCTCCATCTTATAATACAGATCTTATTGTTCAATATTTTCCTAACAGAGCACTTAGTTCTCAGACTGCAGGTTTACTTGCGGTTCCTAGAGTTTCCAAATAGGGATGCACGATATTGGATTTTTGGCCGATATCCAATATGTTAAAACTTATTTGGCTGATAACCGATACCAATACCGATGTATATATTTTTTCCTTGACCTACTAACAGAGACTAGCTTTTAGACATAGCTTTCTCTGCTGTGGTATTAAAATGCAGGTACTACATTATTCTGCATGGTCTTTGAGAATTTGGCCTGCTACCAAATGCAGATGCCAAAAAAGGGAATTGATCAAACACCTGGAGAAGATCTTGCAGCAAAGAAAAAGTGTCTGGTTTTTCCAACATTGAAAAAATGTAATTCATCTATCTATAGAAAAAAAGTGGCATAATACTTCTGAAAACCAAAAATAACCAACTTTTCTTTTTTTTACGGGGAGTGATGGTGCAGAGGTTAAGGAAGGCAAGCCTGTGATCAAAAGGTCACCGGTTCAACGCCCCCGGACTAAGAACATCAAAATGTGTAGGAGTGCACATAACTGGTACGCAGGTATGCATGCGCAACAAAAATCAGGAATGCGTAGCATCACCTGTGTTACCACACGGCACACGCCTTTGCATACTTGACCGTCAAGTTATCAACACCCAGGGTTTCATTTGAACCAGATCCTGCCAGAACAAGATCTGGAAACGCTCTTATTTTGACAGTGTGCGTTTAGGGAGCCATGCTTGAAGCGTGTCCCTCCCCTCTGCTGCTGAGACGATAAATAACTGACAGCGCAGCTGCCGTTTTGATGACGCTCTGACTCTCAGCAACTCCTCGTTAGTATAGTGGTGAGTATCCCCGCCTGTCACGCGGGAGACCGGGGTTCAATTCCCCGACGGGGAGTAGTACATGTTTTTTTTTTACTGTTATTGTCATCTGTACTTTATGTTCGGCCTGGAACAGGTCAATCCTTTAAATTAATCATCATGACTTAATGAGACTAGCCTGTAGAAATAAAGGTTGAATGAAAAAAAAAAAAAAAAAGAGCACACATGCGATAGAGTATAACGCAAAGTGAGAGTGCTACCTGTCCCCTCTTTTCCTCTTTTCCATTAATGAATTTTGTTTTTTTGTTTTATCGATTAGTTTGTCAAAACAAAATTTAGATATTTTTTTTTGTAAATACAGAAGTACGGTAATGTTTAATAAATGTTAGGACTCTATTCTTTGCTAACAAAATATATTTTATGTCATTAAACAACTTGTTGGGTTCTTCCCTTGTGAGCATGCGTGTCCCGCAGGACACCCCCACCCCCCACACCCCACAGCCGGTCCACCTGCTATTTGCGCTCCGGCATCGATTGGTTTAAGCTGCGTATGGGGTGAGTACTGAGCACCATCTCCTGGTACTCGCCTGAGGAGCACACTAAAAAAAAGTTATGTGCGCCTCTGTAAATGTGGATGATAAAGGTGAAACACCCACACCTGCCTCCACCCTTGCTTGCGCTACTCTCAGCCCTTGAGCAAGGCACTTAACCCCCACCATCTGCTCCCCCCGGTACCCTAGATGACAGCCCTGGTAGCTCAGGGGTCTGTGGTTGTGTCAGGAAGGGCATCAAGCATAAAAACAATTCATACATCTTTGATCAAGTTAATTCATTGTGGTGATCCCTGAGGAAGGGAGCAACTGAAAAAATAAAAATTATATCTTTTTTCAGTAAATACTGATTGAAGGTGGCCCTAAGCTTGAATCAAGTTTTTGATTTTAACCCTTTATTTAATAGAGTTTGACACCTCTAGTTTACAGTTTAACTGTTCCACAAACCCCCTTCAAACAACCTGAACTGTCCCTTTAACATGACGGAGACGTTTGAGTTTTCTCAAAGAGAACATTTATATTGTTGCTAAAAGTCAAAGGCAGACCAAAATGTTTTGGGCCTTGTCTGTTGATGTGGTTCTGTTAGCAAAATATTTTAAAGAACACTTCGAGCAATAATCATCCACAACCGATTAACTTTTGGAGTCAATCCAGATCAAGATGGCCACCACATCTAACTGACATTAGCCAGCACATGTATGTCTCTAACTCGGTCATTTTTACAAATATTTAGCTGATTAAAGTCATCCTCAACACTTTGAGATTGTGCATCATGTTATTTTGAAGGTGGTGACCATGATGGTGGTTTACCGGAACAACCCATCATTATCTGCAACACATGACCAGAGCTGTTTGGTTTG